CCTCTCCCCGGTCCTAGACAACCTTCGGCTTCTCGTTGGGTGTCCCTAGTCCTGGCAAAAACTAGGGACGCGGGCCTTAACCGAGACCTTTGAAGGCACTCTCGCCTTCTTTCTCAAAATCTCTCACAATCAAATATATATGTAAACTTAATATCCACTCCGCTCTTTCTGCAGTCTAGTACAGAAAGGCCCGGTCTCCATCTTGGCCCACCATAGCCTGGTTGATCGGACCAGGACTACGGCCCACCGCATTGTTGTTTAACGGCAGTACCCTCGTTGGCTACGCAACGATACGGTTTCTCCTGATAGGCACTCAATCAGGACCTCCCAAAATCTCAACCTTCACTATCCCACGGAGTAATTTCCCTGAGGCGGGTAACTCCCCTTAAACTCTTACCCCGTGGTCCCGCAACCAGGTTGCGCCGGTTAGCAGCCATCCAATGGGGTTACGCCCTAGAGGTACTAACTTCTTTTCCGTTAGCTTGGCCTTTCTTCAATATGTCTCAAAATTAGCACCAGTGGTTAAACGGGTGCGTCGCAAAACAAAATCACAGGCCCACTGCGCGATACGCAGGGGTCCGAAGGCATTTACCAGCCCTCCTTCAATAGGCATGGCCTCCTTCGCACGCTTACAAGCAAAATCACCGCTAAATCCACCAGGCCGTGACCCCTGACTTGATCAGAGCCAGCAGCCACCCACCCTGAGACATCTCTCGCCCTCTACTCATTGCGATTTTCTCAAACATTTCAAACAAAAAGTGGCCCCTTTCCGTCAGATTTTATCACCCATCGAACAACTCATCATGCCATAAATCAATTTACTCACTTCTGAGGATGAGTCTTTCAACCAAAAACCACTCTCATTTTTCAACAATCCAAAAAGGGCTCTCTTCATAACCAAAACACCCCCTCTTCCAAAAATCGCGAGGGGTCTCTCCATAAAACAATACATTCCCTCTTCCAGAAATCATGAGGGTCTCATCATAAACAAAACACCCCCTCTCTCAAAATCACGAGGGGTTTCGTTACATCACAAAACATCACAAAACATCCCCTCCCTTTTCCAAAATCTAAGGGGGTCCCATTATAAAGCAGAACATCACTGAGAGACCATCTTATGGGTCCTCATCACAACTTAGATAACTTTCACAAACGGACTGCGCTTCCTCCCCTTATACTCTGCCTTATCAGCTGCCGTGGGCAGGTCGCACAAGTATACCGAGGAGTAGACAGTTTTACTTACAATCATATTCACAATACCCAAGATACATAAAAGGTTTTTCACACATTGTCCACACAAACTCATCATACATCAGAGTACAACCACACATGTGAGAGAGACAAGTGATCGTCACATATAAGAATGATCCCTGAAGGAAACCTCATCATAATATACACTCAGGGAGTACAATGTCTCACATAGAAAGTGTCTCCAAATCATAGCTTGCTCAACTCAAGCCACACCAAACCCACACTAACAACTACCCTTAGAATATATGTCAGATCTGTCTCTCAAAGGTCAGGGCGTAGGCCACCTAAATATGTACATGCCTCATCTAAACCACCCTGACCCTCAAAACCCTAACTCAGTAGAAACACTAGAGTTTAGATCTAGATTAACAGTAATCATCAAAATGTCTTATAAGTCTAAGAGAGTATCACACAGAACCTAAATTGATGCCTCACAAAATGCCCGCTCGCTTATATAGACAAAGTCGTCCCTACCTCCTCAACTCTTCCTGGTTTTGCCTATATAACTGAGCCCTAAGTCCATCTGCGGACTTCTCTACTATCCTACCCTGTCTATCATACATTTTACCCCCTACCTCTGAAATCTTCCCTGCYGCCTTATCCTCAAGAAACTYGAGAYAGTCCAAAGCGTGATGCGMGCTCCTCTTGCAGTAGAAACATAGTTGATCAACCTTCCTCTTGAACTTCYTCTTCCTGGGCTGAGGAGRTGGTGATGAAGGAGATCCTGCCAAGGTACTGACAACCCCCTGCTGCTCTGCTTGAGGAGCTGCGGTACCAACGACTTCCTGCCGCTCTGTCCCCGGAACTGGTCCACCAGACCCAGATTCAGTAGCCCAAAATCCTAGTCTGCCTCTCAAATCCTCTGTCGCCGGAACGTACTCGGGCGTATCCAACCTCTGAGGCCTCCTCTCGAGTGCCGCCCCTGGCACTGCCGTGGGCTGCTCCTCAATCTCCTCTGGTCCATATTCAGGTGTGCCTATCCTCTGGAGTCTGCCCTCGATGGCACCCTCCTCCTCAATCCCCATCTCTCTCTCAAGAGGCTCCTCTATCCTCTGCTCAGGTAAAAACAAACTCACCTCCTCCTGTATAGTATGCACCGCCTCAAGGAGCACGCCCATGGATCCCTCTGCCGAGCCCTGAGTCGGCTCACTGCTAGATGGTGGCAGCCCCTCCTCTACTACCAAAGGTACGACTGGGCCTGCCGCCACCACCGACAGCGTCGCGAGCTCAGTAGGGGCTCTAAACTCGAATGCCTCTTTCTCCGCCTGTCTCTGGGCTCTCGCCTCCTCTGGCTCCAGGATAACTCTCCCCATAGGCGGCTCCTGGCGAGGCTCTGTCACAAATGGCTGTCCTGGCAATCCCTGTCCTGGCTGCCTCTGCTCTCCCTGCCGGCTGCTCTCTGGTCTGTCCACCTTTCCCTGGGTTTGCTGCCTCAGACTCTCAATGATAGCTGCCTGGCTGGCCACCAAAGCCCTAAGTTCCTGAATTTCCACCTCCATAGCCTCCAGACGTACTCCATGGCTGGCTTCCTTCATTTTCTTCCCCGCCAGATCGCCCTCCAAGAACAAGTGCCGGTCAAAAGTGGTCTTGGCCAGGAACTTGATTTTACGATCTAACCTTTCTTCCGCCTTCCTGGCCACCCCAAACCCGGCTGTGACTAGCGATGGAAGCTCCTCTCCTCTCTGCTCCCAGAAGTCTCTCCACATTTCAGGAATTTCCGGGGCCTTGGGTGGCGCGCTGGGCGGCTGACCCGGGAGTGCCTCTGCTGCCTCCGATCTCTGCCTTTCCTGCTGCTGCTCCGGGAGCTCCCCAGCTGCCTCCAACCTCTGCCTCTCCTGCCGTATCTCATCTATCCGCCTGGTTCGTCTTGCCCTCTTTTCTTCGGCCGTCTCTCCAGCTGGCACCCTTTCCCTCGTGCGGAGGTCGACCCTCTTTGGGATCTCTGCTTTCATCTCCTTCTCGGGCTGGCAAGACTCCTGGCGTGGCTCTGCAGGTGCTGGCTCCTCCAGGTCTGGGTGCTCCAGGGCATGAGCCGCTAGGTGCCTATCAATCAGGATCAAAGCTTCTCTCCTTACAGTTGTCCTCTCTCTCCTCCTTTCTACCCTCCCTTCTAGCGAAGGAGCCTTTTCTGACGAAGGTAAAGGGGTCTCCTCTCTCTGCAACCCCTCATTTGCCTGCCGGGTGCTCCCTGGTGCATCCCCGAGTCTCAAACCCACTGCTGGCGTCTGTGGGGGCGTGTCCTCTCCAACCTCTATCACTTCCTTCCCTGCACGTCTCCCCTCATCGCCCAGCCTCCTCTCTCGCTGAGTACCCTGAACCTCTTCCTGTTGCACCTCCTCCCGTGGCATCTCGTGGTATCTCCCTCTGTGGCACCTCCTCTCGCGGCACTTCCTCTCGTGACATCTCCTCTGCCTGCTCTCCATGTTCCTCACCCTGAAGCGACGCCCTCCACCGAGAGATATCTAAATGCATCTCCAATTCCCTCAAGGGCCCCTCTGACGCTGGTGGCTTCCCCTGTGTGTGTGCTGGCGACCTCCTCAATCCACCCTCAGTAAAATGATGGAACTCCACTGGCCCCAACCCACGCTCAAGGTATGCCCCTCGCTCCTCATCCTCTGGCTCTTCCTCTCTCCTGGCTAGGGTCTTCCGTCCTCCTCGAGATGGTCTCGCCTCCCTGGGCTCATGGTCCCTCGGCCTCTGACTCCTCTGCCGCCTCTCAACTCGGGGCTGAGGGCGCTCTGGCCGTCGAAAGGCCTCTCTCAAATGTGCCCTGCAGCTTTCCCAATATCGTGCCATGTCCCTGATCTGCATAGCCAGTGGCCTTTCCGCCTTCCTGGTCCAGAGTGGTAGCGTCTGCATCCAATCATCTCTCTGTATGCCTTGCTCTTGCATGAACCACTCAAACGCGGGGATGAAGTCCGACGCATTTCCAATTTCCAGGCGGATCGGCCTGCCATCAGGTCCCACAGGCGAGGGTCGCAACTCCTCCATCCTTATCTCCACCTCCTGCCTCGTCGTCGCCTCCCTACGAATCCTGGTAATGGGCTCTTCGAACCTACCTGCTCCCCTCAATCTCCCAATCGCCTGAGTGGCGGTCCATCCCATACGCCTCGCATGCTCCCAAAAATTGTCCAGGAATAGCTCGATGTCCCCATCATTGTAGACTGGAGTACTCCCTCATTGGCGAGGCCCATGCCGCTCATATCCTCTTGATGCGCCCAACGGCCTCTGAGGCGGCCGTGTCCCCTTCCCTACTCTTGGCATGGCTGTCTTCGTAAAGTCAGACCTGCACAACAAGCGAAGGAGACAAACGGCACATGTTGGGGTAAGCAAGCAGGTGATAATCAGAGCAAGCTCAGACCAGACCACACTTATGCAGCATGCATCCTTCCTAACCTACACACCCTGTTACTTCTCATTCTAGGGGCGGTCAGGTCATCTCTCTTACCTCTTCTCTCGCCACGAATTTCTTCAGTCGCGTTCCAGATACCCAATCCTTCCACTCAGTCCCATTTAACTCCTCGATCTGGTACGCTCCGAAGTCTCCGACCCGTGCAATTCGGTAGGGACCTAACCATCTCTTATCGAGCTTCCTGGACCACTGCTTCTCCAGTGACGTATCATAGAGAAGCACGACATCCCCGACTGCCAAGGGTACTTTCCTCACTCGCGCAGACTGATCCCATCGGGCCTTATCAATTATACGCCTTCTCGCCACCTGATCAGATGCCTCCTGGATCCTTTCTTCTATCGCCCCGACCTGCCGCGCCTGAATATCGAGCAACTCTTCAAATGACAGGTCGACTTCCAGATCCCGGCGCCTCCACGTCTTAAGAAAGTTTTCGATAGGGAAGGTGGCATGCCTTCCGTACCACAGCGTCGCAGGTGCGTACTTGATGGATCTCTTTACTGTAATGTTCTCGACAAAGAAAGTCGCCCTTAGGTATCTTGGCCATTGATTAGGCCTACCTTCGGTCCATTTGGCCAAGAGGTTCGTAATGGTACTATGTCCTCTCTCTACGGGAGCATTTGCCTGGGGGTGCGCGGCCGTGGTGTAGTTGGCTGCCACACCATATCTTGCTAACAGTTCTTGCACCTCCTGGCAGATAAACTCTGATCCCCTGTCCATTACGAATTCCCTGACGAAAGGATAACGCAGGTAGTACTCATCGATGCAGCTCACCAGGACTGACCCGGTCTTTGTGCGAATAGCACGCCCGTCTACGAACCCAGACAGGTTATCGTGCGCATCGAAGATACAGTTGTAGCCCTGATCCCCAAGCGGCATAAAAAGCAGATCGAGATGCACTACGGCCCCTACCTCTCGTTCTAACCTTGGATGCAGCGGCTCTCCCTGCCTTAAACGGGATCTCTCCTGGCAGGGTACGCAAGATCGACAGAATTTTCCGACCATGTCCATCATTCCATCCCAGTAGTACAACTCATTTATCTTGACATACGTGGCTTATACCCCTCGATGCCCTCTTGCAATGTCATCGTGTAGTGTTGCTATGACGTCGATCTGACGATTCCTACCGTATACGACCCTCCTGGGATTCCCCACTTCCCTTCTCACGAAAAGGTGACCGTCTCGCACTAGGTAGCGTTGCAGCATCCTTTGAGCCCTATCGCTCGCATCTCTTAGCCGCATTTCACATGAAAGAAGAAGCCCCGGCTCTAGGTAGATCCCGTCGTACTCCTCTGCACGAAAAGCCTCCTTAATTTCCCCTTCTTCGAACTCGTCGTCCTGGCTCTCCGGTATTTCGTCCACATTCCCTGCCGGGTTCAACGAGCCTGACTGGTTTAGGCTTTCCTGCAATAGCGTATTCACGAGGAGATATATTCCGCCCATCAGGTCCTCATGTCGTTCTACCTGGCCAGGTCCTTCCTCAATCGTTCTCATATCCTCCACCAGGCTATGCGAGCTGGCCAGCGCTAATTCCATCATCCACTGAACATCCTTACCGCCCCAGGGATCCTCTTCTTCAAAGGGCTTAAGAACTAACTCATTCATTCTTTCATACCCCTTCGGCGCTTGCCAGATAGGATAGTCTGCACAGCTAGGCACTCGCGGCGACCATTTGTTGATATGAAGACGAACATCTTCTTCCTGATCCAGAAATCCATCAACTGGGGGCGTATTCTCCATCGCCTCCCCATCCTGCTTATCCCAGTTGATCCGACTCAGCCCGTCCGCCCGGTTCTTACTACCAGGAATCCGTTCCAATTCGAAATTGAACATCCAGATGTACGTCAGCCATCTGGCAATCATCGGATCCGATGGAACGTAATTCCTTAGAGAATAGGTCAGGGCGGTCGGATCCACTCTCAAAATAAACCTCCTGCCAAAGATATAATTCCGGAAGATTCGCAGACAATGGAGGACAGCAAGGGTCTCCCTCTTGAACTGAGAGTAGTTCCTCTCCGTCGTACAGAGAGTCCGGCTCTCAAATCGCAAGGGTTTTTCCTTCCCTTCCATGTCTGCCTGAATTAGAACTCCCCCTAAGGCAGTCGGTCCCGCATCCGTCTCGACAATGAAGGGTCGCGTCTCTGTGGCGTCATAATCTGGCGCTCCTAACATCAACCCTCCTTCTCGAAATTCCTCCTTCTTCTCGTCATCTGACTCGATGATTATGGCCTCTTCCGTCTCACTTCCTCCTCGTAGCCCTTGAGTCACTTCCTCATTACTTCCCACTTCTTCCACCCCAAACGGTGGTTCCTCCTTTTCCTGCCATAGCCTGAACATGGCAGGGGGCGGTGGTCCCACTGCCGCTCTTCGTTGGGCTTCAGCTCTCACTCCTCCAAACCTTTTGTCAATGGCCTCCCCAAATTGATCGTAGATATCCCCATCCATAGTAGAGGAAATCAGCCCGCTTCTCTCGTCTTCCCGCCTTATATTACAGAACCTTATAGTGTGGCCTTGTTGGTCACAATGTTGACAGATGACCGTCCTCCAGTCAAAGCGGGGTCTTCCATACCCCTGACTTCCCTGATCCCCCTGGCCTTGATACGCCTTGGTCTTGGTACCCCTGGCCCTGACTCCCTTGGCCTTGGTACCCCTGGCCTTGACTCCTTTGGCCTTGGTACCCCTGGCCTTGACTCCCTTGGCCTTGGTACCCCTGGCCTTGGCCCCCTTGGCCTTGGTACCCCTGGCCTTGGCCATTCCATTGCCTTCCTCTTCCGCCGCCATTCCTGCCTCGCCCCTTTCCTCCACCCCTCCCTCCATTGCCTTGATTGCCCTGCCCCAGGTTCCCGCCCCCTACAACGCTGCCCTGTGAATTGGGATCAGGTGACGGTGGCGGGGCCACAGGTTGGGCTTGGGCCGCGGGGTAGATGGGTGGTGGCATACTCGTTTGCGGTCCGGCTACTGGCGGCGTACGTCCCCATGGCACAATTGCGTTGATCACCGGCCAGGGCCACTGTCCATAGGAGGGAGCCCCGCCTTGCGAGGGGCCCGTACTAGATGATGGAGCCGCCACATTTAAAGGGGTTGCTGCCTGGGTTTGAGGTGCCTGCCCTTTTCCTGATCCCTGTCCGCCCTGCGCCAAATTACGCACTTTGCGTTGGACCTTCGTCAGATGTTGCGGCACTGGCTCTTCCTCTTCCCAGAGCTCCTCCTGGCCAGCCTCCTCTATCACTGACTCTTTTCCTTTTACTTTGACAGTCGTCACCACCCTTCTTTGCACCACTGGCTTTGTCGCATACCCTAGCTGTGCCAATACGTCTGTTACAATCCTTGTTACTCCCGGGGTCCCAGAAGCGGTCGCATCTCTTTCCTTTCTCTTCTGCCTTTGTAGGCGTACCTGACGTTGTTCCACCTTGTCCAAGCACCCAACTTCCACCCCTCTGTCAATGGTGGCCCAGGTGAGCTTAGTGCTACCTCCTCCATGTCTTGTCAACTCGACAGCCTCTGATGCCGTGAGTAGCCCAAGGAAGATGGCGCACTGTGCTTCCTCCGAAATCCCATGGACCTTCCGCGCCCTCTTCTTAAATTCTTGAACAAAGGCCCCTATAGTCGTAAAATCCTCTTTGTTCATCGCTTCAAGGTCCGTGGTAGTCAACAACCCGTCTTCCATGCAGTATTTCCTCCGCATCCCCTCCTTGAACCTCTCCCAGCTACCTTGAGCCGCATCTATAACTTTTTTCATCTCCTGATGGTAGCTGTGGAGGACATACTGAAGGATGCGTTGAAACTTTACAACATCCGGCCGCCCGACCAAAGCTTGTTCCACCCGCTCTAGCCATTCTAAGACTCTCTCTCCATAGAAATGGAAAGTATCGACCTTTGGGATGTTGCTCGGGTTCCTTTCATGTCGGTCGATGGCCGCAATGAGGTCATCGAGTGTCAGGCCTTTCTTGGGAACAACTGATGCGTCGCCAGTCTCAGGCATCTTGACAGCCTTTTCTTTTTAAGTTCCCTGGCAAAAGAAAACAAGTACATCCCCTTATTCAACATCATACCTTGATCGGTCTATTCCATTCGTCCTACCTATCCCTTAGTACTTACTTTACCCACCGTTAACACGATCGTCCTTCATACTTCCTCTACCTGGGTAGGTAAATTTCCTCACCTACACTTAGTCATTCATATATTCCTTTATTACCTTCTCATCACTCCTTTATGCCTTTTCTTATTCACTTCTCATACCCGGATGTCGTTCCACCAGGGACAACGGTAGGCTTTCCGTCATCCCCGGCAACGGCGCCACCTGTCGGGCGCA